TGGATTGAAACCCCACTGGCTGGGTATTTCTGAAGAGTCCCAAACTAAGAGTATGAAACAGCTATCTCGTACTTCCTGGTGGTCCTCTGACTGATCTTCGCATTCATGATAAATCCTCCGTGAGAGTTTTAGTCTTTTCCTTCTAAGTCCTAGGTACAATATTCCAGTGAGTTCTAGTAAGCACGATAAGTAGGTCCATAGCTTCTTGCTTACTGCTTCCTGCTTACTGTCTGTTCATACCAAAGTGAAACATATTGCTAAGAGATTAAAATCAGCCAAACCCTGTTTTCCTTTATTCCTTTACGCTCCCAGCGGAACATAGGGATTCAAGCTACAGGCTTGAAGTTTAGGTAGCTGTGGTATTTATTTTTACGGGATGGGGTTGCTGGCCTCATGCCCAACCTTCCCTTTTTACCAGTCTTATTACTGGCTCAGTGAGGTAAAGAAGTAAGTCTTCCGGGGATCGAACCCCCAACCACATGAGACGTGGTTGGTGAGCATTCTATCTCTGTGCCACCAGCGCACTAATCTCTGTTAACACATACAAAGTCTTCATTATTTCTTCAAAATCTTCTCCTTTGTGTTAGTTAATCTTACTAAATACTTTTCATGATTACTATGTAAGCAATAAAGAGTATTCAGCTTGTTTTAATATATTAATTATTAATAATGATAATACACAAATAAATAAAAAATTATAAATTCTTTGCGTAACTTTTAAACTGTGACTTGAAATGACACATCGTCAATCACTTCGTCAAGGAATTTCATATCTACCCACAAAGTTATTATGAAAGCAAATAATGATTAAAATTAAATGAAGTGAAGTAAAGGAGAATCACGCTCACTGACAAAGATTGATAAATAGAAAGGAGAGAGAGAGAGACAGAGAAATGAATTGTCTTCATTGATTTTAGTATAACCAGAAAAAAGAACAAGGTTTAAGGACAGTTCAATTTTGAAGTTGCTTTAACTAAATGATTATCAAAAACCTTTGTTATTATTATTATTACCATTATTCCCTTAGGTCCCATAGAAAACACATTTTTGATAAAATAGACAAAAAAGGGGAGTAGGATGAGTCTTTTTTTAAACGAAAACTTCAAGTTTTCTAAACAGGACAGCAGATGATGTAGTGAAATTTGTGTGATTTGTTATCACCACGACAATGCAAGATTCACTACTGTCTCTTTCTGCGTACAAAGATTTGCTTTTGACCGTTTGATGGCGGATGCCTCAGCAAAACGCAGCAGGCCAGTTTTGTCTTTTGTCTGTTGATTATTTTGAGCGCCTTCAGATTATCCACAACATGACCAGGGTCTAGTGGATGGTGTGTGATCGCACTGTGTAATGCCTATGGGCCCTTTAAATCTCAGGTTCTTTGGTATGTATTCAGAGATGCAGATAAGAACTCTTCTCTCTGTTCTTCGAATGTATGTGCTTCGGCACGTATATGTAAACCGGCAGACTCAGTCAAAGGTAACATAAGGTGGGAGTTTGCCAACTTCTGACTATCTTAAACAAGTGGTCGTTTTAATAAACACATACAAGCGAGGAGTCTTGATATATTCTTTTCAAGGCAACGTTCAGTCTGTATCTTATTCTACTAGCAGTATCGTCATCTTTGAAAGCAAGCTGTAGAAAGAAAGGTTTTTTCTCTACTGTGCTGGGCTTCACCTTGTCAACACTACACTATCCATGTTTGTCGACGAACTTTTCTGGGCAACCATTATCACGGAGACATTTATCAACAGTAAATAGTTATTCTTCCAGTTTTACTTCTAAGAAAAGCTTCCTTACACGATCGGACAGTGTTTTTACCAATCCCTTTTTGTAACTTATAAGTCAGAAGCTTTTGAGGTTCTGGTAGATCTCCCTCCAGATCTCCTTTTTATAGATGTACCTTACAATTTTACCATCTCGACCACATCCGATACCAAGGTCCAGAAAGTTAAACTTTTCTTAATCTTCACACTCCATTGTAAACTTTATGTTAGGATGAGCACTATTCAGGGCGTTTCGTATTTGAGATGCGTCATTAAAACAATCACAAACGACAAACGTTTCATCGACATACCCGGTGTAGAAGTCTATCTTATCAATTACGGACTTCATTCTTGTTTATTTCAGGTTGACCATAAAAATATCTGCCAGAATCGAACCCATTGGAATTCCCATATTTGACTCCACCGGTTTGCCAATACAGAACATTGTTTGATTAAAACTATATGTCCTTGGTACATATTGGCAGCAACTGTCTGAGTTCATTCCTTGGCTGAGGAATGAGATCAGCATGTTGACGCATAATTTGTATTGATCCTTCTAGCGGGATCTTTGTAAACAGCGAAGAAACGTCAAATGACACCATGAATTTGTTTGAGATATCTAATTTCTTTAATTGTCTAGCGAACTGAAAGGTATCTTTCAAGCTATAGACAGCTAACTTTGTACAGCTTCATAATAAATTCGTTGACAGGAGTCTCTTCTCTAAATCATCACTTGTTTTGATTTGCCAGAAGTTATTTTAACCAAGCATTGTATCGAAACCAAAACATACACTGGTCGATTTCAAATAAATTGACAGTGAGTTCCATCAAGGCGTCACGTTTGAAGATGGATGTCCCACCTACGATAATGGTTGGAGTCGTGCTAAATCACGAATTGGTCGAAGTTAGAATTCATGTGTCATTGAATCGGGTCCCAGTGGCTGAATGGTCTACGAGCCAGCTTGACTTGTAACCAGAAGGTACTGGGTTCGAACCCCAGCGGATGCGTACTGTCAAGGATTCCCAAACTAGGATGAAACAGCAGCTGTTCAGTCAGTACTTTCTACTGGTTTTCAATGGTTCTCTACCTGATATCACTCCATGATCAACTCGTAAAAAACAAAATTATGCTTTACAAACCAAACTATAGAAAATAATGCTACACCCAGAGATGAATAAAAAATCAATATCAACCAGATGAAAAGTATCTTTCTTTATGAATTTCTCTTATAACCGAAAAATCAATAATTTCGATGAACTTATGCTAATGATGATGATGATGATGATGATCTAATTGCATGACCTTACAGACCTAAGTGTTTATTTGTTCGTTAGCTGGGGATCGATTGTGTTTATCAATTCAAACAAACATAAATAAACGTAGTAGATTCAAGGTTTCTTGAACAGTATGAGTATGTGTGAGTATGTTTATGTTTGTGTACAACTCGAGAGGATTGAAACCATTGAACATCTCACTATCTATACATACAAATAATCTTTTCTCCAAACCATTTTGTTACACACACACATACACACATTCTGGTACAAAATCTCACTTTGAGGTCACAACTAAACTTGCCAAAGTTATCTGTCTATTTCTGAGTATTATAATCATTATTTCAACGAGACTGTTATATAGCCAAACGAAAACAATCTTTGGAATTAAAAAATATCTGTGAATCATTGAAGCTCACCCACTCACACACACTCAAACATGCACAGACGGTGAGGGAGAGAGAGAGAGAGAGGGTGATTGAGTGTTTGTCAACCACACTTTTTTGTGCTGAATTCCAATACAAAATATGAAAAACTAACTGAATAAATTTAATATTCATCGATATTCGTGTGTAGGTGTAGGCGGTAGATATTCCGTTCAGAGTAGACTATGAACACCTGAAACTCATACACACACACACACACCACAGAAATAAGCACATTGGTTCAGAGTAAGTTAATACTTGAGTCAGTATCCACGTATTCTGACTGGTCTTCTCATTCTGTACACACACGCACACACACACACACACACACGGAGAGAGACTCACGTATCGATTACGACATAATCCTCCAACTAGCACCATTTTGTGCTAACGTTGTTTGTTTGTCTTGTTTCTGATCTATGTAATGCAATAAATATCACAATAACCAAAAAAAATCAATACTCGAATCTGGTTGGCCAATTTTGTGCTTCATTATCTAACAACGAAAAAAATGCTCAACATCTTGGATATATTCACAAATTTTTTGTTCAAAAATAGTTAGATAGAAGAACGCAAACTAGAATTAGAGGTGTTGTGTTTCTGTGTTCTGGATTTCTATTTTTCTTTTTTTGCTTTTCATTCCTCTATCTCTCTTTCTGTGAGAAGAATAAACTTCGGTTGATTTTCGTTTTCAGTTATATATTTATTTTGTGCTCTGAGAATCAATACACGTTCGTATATATTTGTACTATAATTATTAGTATTACTTATTAACGATAATTTTAGTAGTATAATAGTTATCTACTCCTACTAATACACATTATCATATTTTTTTCTTCGGAATCACTAAAATTAACTGTCAAAATTTGACAGGTTTTAACTGCCTTTCATCGTCATCAATAATAATAATAATAACTTTTTATTGTTAAGCCTATTATCTTTTCGACATACGAGTGTACTGAGTGCATGTGATTTTGGTATCTGTGTATGCGCACACGCATATTATCTGTGTGGATCAGTGAATCAGGAGTGAGTGAGTGAGTGAGTATATTTGTGTATGTGAGAAATTTTACGCAGTATATATAAATATATATGTGCCTTTAAACAAACTTATATCTTTAATACATATTAAATGAAGACAGTACAAAGTTGCCTATTACTTTGCATCAATTAAACTTCTCTTCATCACATATCTCTTCTACTTCTTCTTCAATCAACTTCTCAAAGAAGACTTCGAAGACTTTGATAAACAACGGGGTATAAGAGCATCTGTGTTTCCCCCCATATCCAATCTATACACAAAGATATTTTCTTCTTCTGTCTGGATAGAAATTTTTCGTAAAACATCAGAAACAAAAACAACACAATCACATAAACACAGAGAGAGAGAGAGACAGTAAAGAGTACTCTCCATAGTTCCGATTACTCATATTGTTATTGTTGCTATCGATACTTGTATTCACTATACATACATATATACCTGATTGATATCACCTTTGAAGACAACTGCTCTTGAGAGCAAATTTCACGAAAAATGACTGGTCCATATCGTGTGGAATCAATCCAACTAACGGATTATCTCAAGAATCTTGAAGTAAGTCATTCACTTTTTACTTAATACTTATATATGTATATATACAATACGCAATTGTAATACTTGTTATTATAACCAACAAAATGTTCATTTAAATGCATAGTACTTACGAGTTTGACCACGGATTGATATCAGTTAGAGAACTATCACTGGAGTACTGGACAGCTGTTTCGTCCTACTAGTTTGGAAATGATCATCATCAGTGGGCACCCAGTGCTAAGTTTTGAACCTAGGACCCTCGTATAACATTCAGCCAGTGGGAGACGACTCCTCAATGACCAGCCAATAAATTCTAATTTCTACCGACCATCAAACAATACCATTCTTACTCCTGACTAGGTGAACCTCCCTGGTCACGAGTTTTCACTACAACTCGAGGCAAATTCCTCTTGTAACAAGTCACTAGCGAGCATCAGATTAATTTTGAAGAATTGACTTTTGTAAGGATTTGATTTGTACTCCCTTCTGGTTTTCAATGGTTCCCTAACTAATGTAAATCCGTGGTCAGGCTTAAAAAACAGATCAAATCTTGGAAAGGTAGTATTTACACCATTTCATAATGTTTTAATCATACAGTGATGTTTTAGAATTATAATGTATACTCAAAGCATATTTTCAAATAAGTTTAAACGTATTAATATGAATTTTCTAAGGGATATTGAAGAGAAATAATTTGAAATTACTGTAGAATGCCTCGGGAAAAAGAACAATGTCCTATCAGTTCATATGTTATTGTGCATTGTATTACTTTAAGATTCTTCACGATAAGAAACTTGTTTTAAATTTTGTAGTGTGTCAAAACGTATTTTTCGGAATAAAGCTAATATCATTATTATTATTATTATTATTAATCTTCGGAGGATAACTTTTAATAAAAACGTACAAACTAACAATAGAAACGAAGCGAAACACTACAAATACTGTTTTAGAAGGCTAGTGTTGTTCTGTAGACACTTTACTTCACAGTTAGAGAACCATTAGAAAACCAGCCACAGGGAGTACTAGTGTTGTGACTCATGGGCAATGAGAATCCACTCTTAGGGTTTGATCCTATGACTTTCCTGTTACAAGTTGAGCTCACAGACCATAACACTACTGACTGCGACATGATTCTTCAATGGCCAACCCATGAATTCTAACTTCTACAAATTCATGATCTGTGTGAGCATGATCACCAACAGCCAGTATCATCCAAGGCGAGTATTTGTCTTCAGTACCCCCAGATGGATTCTTAAAAGATAGCTTAATAATATTTTGGTTGTAGAAATAGTTGATGATTGCTTGCCCCCTTCTTTTTTTGCTGTGTTCTTCTCAGAGAACAGACTTCTTTTCATCAATTTGGATATGTTCACTGATTTTAATCGTCTTTATCTTCATTCTGTTTTTCACATATATGGTGTGATCATAAACGACTAAACAGATAGGCTATACTATCCGTTAGTGTATGTAGCAAAAAATGATACTTTTGATGTGTAGGTGCGTTCATCAGTTGATAAGCCCTTAACTGGATGAAAAGTGCTTCGGGGATTCTATTACTAGCCGCCACCACATATCAAATAAAAATTGTAAGTCGTCATTCAGAGGAATCTTCTAGACGAATTATTGATCTTAAAGTGTAGTAGTCAGTAATGGTTGGTTATGGCGGGTGTAATGAAATGTCTGGATTACAGCAGGATCCAAACCAAAGGCCTATTCAATTCTCCAGGCGGGATATCGCTCAGTTGAGAAGCCCAATGCCCTACTACTGACTATATCATCATTTCACTATAATCACCAGGCGTATTCTCCGTGGTGTTTCAACCCGAATGCTCTCATCATCGACCTTAAAATGCCTGAGTTCCTTAAATGAATGCTAAGTAGCACTGGTTCACTCTTTCTGACTAGTTTCAAGAATTTTCACTGAGTCAAGGATAGACAGTTAAGTCTTAGGGAGATAATTCTATGGCTGGATCATAGGATTAGCGAAGCTAAGTGGTCATGTATTTGCTAATTTTCAGGGCTGTTCACTTTTTAATAGTATTTTTTTGACTGGTGCGAATTGTAACCTAAAATATCGGCAGTGTGTTATATTCACAACAAGACAATGAAAAAGAATGGAGAAGGTGAGACACAATTGAACGGTAGGGCTACTTCGAGGTTCGAAGCCTTAATACTATGATGATTAGGCTCCTGTTTGTGAATAATCCCTACCCAGACATTATTGAAAGCAAAACACATACATAGTTCAGCGAAGAGGCTCTTCCCAGCAAATTCACTTTCCTACCTAGCTGTACAATCACATTTTTATACAATCCGTTTTTCATGAAAGGTGGTAGTAAGAAAAGTGATGAGTTGTCACAAACATACTTGTTAATATTAGCCAATGCATGAAAGGAGTCGAATAAGTGTATTAGAGTTACGCAATATGATGAATAACTTGATGCCAAATGAATTATCATCCAGATGCACATGGGAACGAAGGAAAACATAGAACTATGTAAGAGCTGTAAAGAAATACAAAACTTAGAAGGAGTTGTAAAATCAAACTAAAACCAAGTTATTAGAAGTAAACAAGGTTGTTAGCATGATGGTAGAAATGGTTAAATAATTTACTTTTGTATACATAACTCTGATTTTTCAAAAACTGAATCGCTAAGGTTTCAGCAGTACAAAACAGACGAAAGCGTATTGCCTTCAGTAGGTTATTCTTCACTTTGTAGATCACGCCTCAAACGACTAATGTACCTGGCTTTACAGTAACATGCACATGAAATGCACATAGAAGTGGCCAAATGCGAGATCTTGTCCTTAAAGCCTCCAAAGATAATTGGACGACGGGAGAATACTAATCTTAGCATTCGTGAGAGGAATTTTCTCCTCAAGGATGTCACGGGTTAAATCTCTCTTGAAATTGGGGTTTATGTAAGGTTTCTTTTTTGAAACAAGTGATGTTTCTGCTATTTTGTGGTATTCACTGTTATTAGTTATCGGAAATTTAAATTCTCGATTCATCGAGACCACGGGTGCGGGTGTGTGTATGTATGAGGAAACTCAATCAGCCAGTTTTGTTGTATTTTAGTGCTAAATACCAGTTAATCAGGCTATGAGTATCTATTACGAGAACTGAATATTCACAACTCAGTATGGAAACTGAGAAAACCGCTCGTAATGACGTAGTGTTGTCCACCAATAATACCACCACCCCCTCCCTCTACCTCAGTAACTTTGAAAAATTCTCTGATGATACTCTTATAGGAGGCTGTGTACATTTTGGTCAATAACTGACTTATTAGTTCATCAAAGATGTCACAAAAAGAACTCTGCAATCACTCCCGGCTGCTCAAAGTAATTCAATCAATCAACCAATTCGTTGGGCGTTAGTCAAAGTCTGCTGAACACTGTAAATTGACACTGGATTTTAGTAGGTATGTAATCACCAGGGATCCTCATTGAAATGAGTTCACTTCTTATACTTTAGAAATTGTGAATGTTGTAATTAACCACTTCTATCCTGAGTATCACTCAAAAACTTTATCTGTAAACTGAAATTCGATAGTATTGAGATCATGTTTGCATGAAGGGTATAAATTATGACGACTAATAATAATTGTAATAATAAGCAAAGATAAAACACCAAGAGGCATAGGGGGAAAAGGTGCTTTTGGTGAAAAAAAAGAATCATTAATCCAAGTTTGACCAGGGTAGAAACAGCGTTTGGATGCGTTATTTTTGGATGCAAACTTCCAGTTTAGTTGATCTTATTACAACAGCTTCAGCTATGTGTAGGAGACTTAAGTGAACTGTACGTGATAACGACTTCGGAATTTTATGTATAACCCTGAAAGCTGTGTTGACGTCGACGCGATGTCCAGTATCGACAAAGTGTGACAGAATCAAGCTTTTTATGCACTTAATTTCCCCTCTGGCTGAACCAAGTTGTTAAATGTTCTCGAACACGTAGATGAACTTGCCTAATCTAGCGCCCCACAGGAACAGTTGAAATGGTATATGCATGAAGAAAAGCTAAGGTTAGGTAAGATATCTTTCAGTTGCTGGATGGACAGATGTGCAGAGTAGAAAATTTTCTTTATAGACATGGTTAAACGCTGCGATAGAATCTCCACAGGAGTATCTTTCTCTGATTTGTGGACGTAAAAATTGAGGCTTTTTCTCCACACAATCTACTATGACTAATCCTCACCCTTGTCTACCATTTCACAATATTTTGTAATTGAATTCAGCCTTGCGCGTTTGTCCCACAAATACTATCTTAAAATTAGTTCAAATTCAAAATTAGTAATTTTTAAAAAACACAGTCAAATTTCAAATATCGATGAAATTTATTTTGAAAAAAGGTAGACAAAAATGATACCACTGTAATATGTATTCACTTCTTATTTTCTCCAATCCTCTAAACTTTTGAGTTGATTCAAATACGCTTTTTATCAAAGTATAGATATTTTAAAGTACCGTCCTCTAAATTTCTTGCCTAACTGATTAATTGGTTAAGTACAACGTTCTGTTCATTTCCCAACCTCTTCACCTGTCCACTTATCTAGTCATCAGAGAGACTGGCTTCATTCTTCCCATGTCCCACTTACTCTATCCCTAATCATTGTCTTCATCATAAGTTCATTGAAGTACCATTGTTTCATCATCATATTGAACATATCTTTCCTGTCCTTGTTTTACAATCTCTTCATTTCTTCTTATTTCTAATCAAAAATCGATCAATATTATTGATAAGATATTTAAATTTTCAAATGTTACTTTATTACAAGTTTAACTAGTTTAGTGAATAATCAATTAGACTATTTTTTTGAATTGATTGATTGATTGATTAAAGGGGTTCAGGGGAAAGAATGTGAAATAATTTAAATGCGTTTCAGTGATGCATATATGCATACTGTTGCACGTGAAGTAGGTTATATGACAGCTTGATCAATCTTTTGTTCAACTATCTATCCGCATAAACATATACAGCTAGTTATTAAATCGATATCAAAACTTTTTATACTATT